CACTGCTTTCTCTGTTACTTTAGGAAAAAAGCAGCATCTGTTTCTAGAAAATGTGTGGAAGCTGAAATGAGGGAAGCGGGAAGCTGGACATGCAAGAATGAAATGACCCAAGGGAGCTGAGCCTAAGGCCCAGGCCCTGAGTTACAACAACTAAAGACTACTTAGACTCACAAAAGCCCCCTAAAAAGGGTAATCATCCCTAGGAGTGATTTTCCTTTGGTTGTCACTACATTCAGTAATGTTTGAGACATGTTCTTTTTGACGGATCAAATAGTAATTTAAAAAACATTAGAAATTTACCTTGTTGGGTGAACTAGGCCCAAACTATAAAGTTAAAACAGGAAAGTACAAAAGCTTATGTTAGAGACTCAGAGGGTAACAACATTTGAAATTATCCAGCCTATTACTAATTTTGGGTATACAAAGGAGAATTTGTAACAACTGTACCTTGGCATATGGAGTAGAGTCTAGTGCATTATAAGGATAACCTTCCCTTCTCTTCCCAATAATACGAACAGAGTGACCTAACTGGTCTGTGTTCCTGAATGTACAATGTTAAATGCCCACCTACATAGCAGTGCTATTTTTTCTAACTGGGTGCACTTAGCAATCTGGGTTTGGGCACCCAGTTAGAGCTGGTGTTTTGCCAGATTAGTGACGGCAGGGCAAGCAGGGCAAAGGTGATGTGGTTTCTGGCAAGAGAGTGGTAAAGTAATTTAAAATAGAATGCAGAAAAATAAAAAAATCAAAGGAAGTGAAGGCAGGAGAAGGCTGATAAGGAGAAAAAAAGAGAAGTATGGATTGGAGGTCCCACATCAGAGAAATCTGAGAGGGACAAAAAACTGACATCGAGAAAGGAAGAGCACTGGAGACATTAGGGAAGTGAGAATGATGTATTGGGAGGAACTGAGTGGAGAGCCAGGATGCATGTTGTGGCTGGAGAAGGTGAAGTCTGCATTTATGGAGTTAGAGGTGAAACAGATTGGGTGTATGACAAGATCTAGGGTGTGGCAAGAGAAATGAGTGGCTAAGATCTCTGGAGATGAGATGGTCAAGGAACTCTGGTGGATGGTATTGTGTCTACTTTGGTAATGAATTCACTCAGAATGAGGGTAGCAGTTAAGGAAAACAGGAAGACTGTAAGCCATGCATCAGTCTTTAATAATTTGAGTCTTTGGATATGCTTAGTATAGGGGGCTGGATATTTTAGAAAGGGGATCCTTCCCTCCCTTATCTATGAGTTTTCAGTCTAAAAACAGTTCATACTAATGCAGAAGCAAGCAGGCTTAAGAAAAATGAGTAATGTTTCCCTTCATTCTTAAGACTGATCTTTGCTCCACTTTTCTGACTTGGTAAGAACCTGTATTTCACATTTTCATCTTAGGGCTAGCTTAGTATTTTTGCTAAAGTTGAATAGAGAATGAAATTATTGCTAATTCAGGCAAGAAAAATCTCAGCTCCCTGCTCTAATAAATTTGTAAAAGTAAATGTTTAAAAAATAAATTACAACTCAGTTGCCCCAGTTCTGATTTGAAAATATCTGGTGAGACCCTGGGTACAGCTTCCTATTACTTTTTTTTTGTTAAGTGTAAAAAATACATGTTCAAAGGTTTCTTATAATCTTGAAAGAACAGGCTGGCATGCTATTTACTGACAGGCTGACCTTTACACAAAGAACCTCCACCTTCAACAAGCTGAAATTACTGTTACTGATGCCTTCAGAATATGATTGTCTCAGAAAGCGGCATGTTTTGTCCAAGTCATACAGAAGTAGTTAGACAGACACCATTTGGTCACCAAATGGTGCAATGTAGAGGGCAGGGGAAAGTTATTTCTATGGTACCAACCATATGTCTGATACTGTGCAAGGAAAAAAAGGAAATGTCAAGTATGATTCCTAATTTCAAGAAGTTTACAATTTATTGGTCAATTACATAATACTTGAGCCCAGAGCTGTGTCTTACATTATTTAAAATTGCTCACACCATCTAAGATAGGACTTTAGAGATACCAAGTTAATAACAAAACAATACAAAAAGTTTAGAATTAAGTAATAAAATGAGCTTAACATAGGTGAGAGAAAACAGTTGAGCCAGTGTCAATGTAATCTATGAAAAAATCTTGTTCCTATTGTATTTTGAGCAGGTCCTGACATTAGAAGGTCCTTATTCCTACTCACTGAAACCTTTAGGAATAATAATAAAAAAAAAAAAACAGGTCAGCTTTTCCTACAAGTAGAAATTGGAAGGTCAGGCTTATTCTGTGCCAGGGCATCAAGAGTGGATGAGTCCTTACCTGTATCTTTTCCCAGATGGCCAAGGAAACTAATGCTGAGCAATAGCTCTTTTAAGTATGCAAAACTATTGACCAACCTGTTATTGAAACTCTCTCCCTCTTGGATTCTTTAAAAGTACATCATTTCACTGAGGTTCATGTAGCCCTTAGGCTAATATCTCCCAACCAACATATCCTACACATACTGATGGAAGAGGAGGTTAGAGTGTCTGTAAGGTCTTAAACTTCCTGCTACTGCTATGCCTCCTTGATTGTCCCTTCTCAGTCTTTCCTACTGTCACCTCTTCCTCCCGGGAGTACTAGGTTTCACTTTTGTCTTTTCTGAATCTGTCTTTTCACTCTATATTCTTACAATTTCCTCCCTGTCAATCTCCAAGCTTAAGAATGAATCTCTATTCTTGTTCTTTCTATACTTTAGGTCTTCACATAGTTTGTTGCCCCTCCTTTATCTGGATAATTCTTCCTTAAATTTTAAAGTCCTATTCCTTAAGAAGTCTTTGTTCCTTTCCCTAAACTAGGTTAGACAGCTCTGCCATGTGACTTTATTGCATCCTGTCCTTTTCTTTTGAAGGACATCTCATATGATCTGTTTAATGGCTGTCTTGTCCCACATTCAGCCCCACTGATCTAGACACACTCTATGATTGTTGACGAATGCTTTTGCATTTCAATGGCAAAGTTGAGTAGTTGTAAGAAGTTACATAGCCTGAAAACCCCAAATATTTATTATCTGTCCCCTTACAGGAATAGTTTGCCAACTGTTGCATTAGACTATAAGCACCATGAAGACTGAAATCATGCCTGTTGTTCTCATTTCTAAATTCCTAGCACTTCAAGTAATGCCTGACACGTAAGTATTTCTGGACTAATTGTATTTCAATCTCAAGCTATAACCCATCTTGTCAGTAATACAAATGAGATCACATTAATTGGCTTGTGTTTATAACATTTTAATCACTGCTTATCCAGATGATGATTGTAGTATTCTACTCGAGGCTGGGGGGCGGGGGCAGAAATTAACCAAATAATATACAAATGAATAGCTTATTACAACCAGAGCTAAGGGCTAAGGAAAAAAGGAACACTGTACAATTAGAATATGTCATAGAAAACCATAATCAAATATAAAGTTTGGGACGACTTCCTAGAGAAAGTGACCTTTGACCTGAAATTTAAAGAATGAACTAAGTGGGCAAACAGGTGGAGAGAAGGAACATGGCACATTCCAGGGGTTAATGTTGTCAAGTAATAATGAACTATAAAGTAAGTTCCTTGAAAAGTTAAGGGTAGGATCCAAAATGGAACAATTGCTTAGTGGGATATTTCTTACAATGTAAAATTTGAAACACCATGTTATTGGCCTACTCTGGGAAAGTGGTAAACTATCATATGTCCATAGCGCAGTATATTCTGTACCCATTAAAATAATGGATATGAAGAATTTTAATTTGTATGGAAAATGCTTCTCCTATAATGTATAGTAAAAAAAAAAAGTAGGACATTGTTTCCACTAAGTAATATATTTCTAGAAAAATTTTCTAGAAGAAAAATGGACTAAAATGTTAATTATAACTGCCTCTGGGTGAGATTGCAATCCTCTATTTTATGGTTTTCTGTATTTCCTATGCTATGCATTTAAAAACTTTTAAGATTGGAAAAATACATTTTATTGAGAAAATAAAAATAAGTGTTAATCTCTATCTACATATTTGAGAATACTCTTTCCTGAACCCTGGAATGAGGATATGAAATGAGGAGCAAAGCCCAGGGGAGTTCACTATTAATACACAGATTATTAATGGAAGCTTTCCTGGAATGTGATTTAAACTGTAGATATAAAAGTACAGTGAGGACATTGGGGCCAAGGAAAACTACCGTGAGATATGCTGCTTTATATAGACACCTTCCTTCTGAGATTCTGCATCTTATGTTACTTAAATTGGGAACTTAATCTAACCTTACTCCACATGTGTTTGGTGTCTTCCTGCCTAGCCATAATCCATCAGAAATGCTCTGGTTTCAATTCTGGATACATAATTTAAATGAGGGTCCTGGAGAGCTCATGCATCAGCTCTAATATTACTCTATTCTGAAAGCTTCTTTTATTTTTTGTTCCTCAAACATCATCTTTAATTTACAGGCTCATTGGTCTCTCCCTTAAAACTATTACTGATAATTTATGGAAGTGGGTGACTTGAGAGTTGTTTTTAAGAAGTTTTGCTTCTTCCTGTAACTGAAATAAAAAGATAAGAACAGAAATTCTCACCATGATGATTAATTTGACTTCCCTTTAGCTTTGAAAAAAAAAAAAAAAGAAAAGAAACAAAGCCCCATTAAGTTAAAATATATTTTATTAATTACTCAAGCAATACATATTTGTGTGCCTATCTTACACCCAGGCAGGCCCTATGAATCCACTGGGGAAACCTGCATGAAGTCTTTTGAGAGTGCGTAGTTGATAGCAATTGCCTCTAGAGTTTACCAAACAGGGATTCCAAATCCCTTCTTGGGGGGAATGAGTTTCTTTTCCATCCTGGTACCATAGAGACAACACAGTGGATGAAAGGCTGAGTAAAAATTTCCCTTAGACTAGATCAGGGCTTTTCAACTCTGGCACTACTGACATTTTGGGTCAGATAATTCTCTCTGCTATGGGGGCTATCCTATTCATTGTAAGATATTTAGCTGCATCCCAGGACTCCTACCTATTTGATACAGGTAGCAGTCCTTCAGCTGTGATCATCAAAAAGGTCTCCAGACATTTTTACCAAATGTCCTCCAGGGGTGGGGAGGAACAAATAATTTACCTTGACTTTCACTGAATTACCTAGAAAACAAACAAAAAGCAACAAATAATTGAGTAAGAAAGAACATACAAATTTTCCTGGATCACTATGCCCTTCTGCTTATTCTCTAGATTTTAAGTGAATAGAAAGACACTGATAAGACTGTTTCCTACAACAGAAATGACTAGCATATAGACACTACTCAGAAGATTCTCTATAGTAAAGGAGTGAAAGTAATAGATGTGGAATTAGAAGGCTTGGGATCTCACTAAATAGCTTCATTTCTTTGGGCCTCAGTGTCCTGACCTGTAAATTGGAGGTGTCATGGGAAAGCAGTAGAGAAGAGTTGTAAATAAATCTTTAAAATTTTTAATTCAATAAATGTTGAAGACATAGGCTATGTCTTCATATACTAGCCATTATACATGGAGCTAGTATATAAAAACTAAAAAGGCAGGGTCCCTTCCTTCAATGAGATTATAGTCTATCAGAATGATAACCTAATAAACAACCGCAGTAATCTAAGAGTTATAACAGAAGCATATACCAAAAAAAAGTGGAAGCCTAGAAAGAACACCTACATTTTTTTGAGGACATCAGGGAGATCTTTATAAGGGAAGCAGCATTTTAACTAAAACTTGAAAGATGAACAAAAATTTTGGCAAGAGACAAGAAAAGGGAAGATATTCCAGTTAGAAAGGCAAGGCAGAGAAATTTGATGCTTTCTCAAAAAAAAAAAAAAAGTATATTTACAGAACTAAAAGTACTCCAATGGTGCTGAAAGGATATGTGAAAAAGATGAAACAGTCATCTACAATATATGACTATTATATTGTAGATGATAATTTAAAATTTATGTGATAGACCACTCTTGCCATAGTGTAGGAAATAAGTTTGGAGGGAATGAGGCAAAAGGCCAATCAAGTGACTATTGTAATAACAGTCCAACTAAAGGCAGTGAAAGGCTACCGAAGGCCAATTATGTGGACAGCAATGGGAACTATTTAAATATTCAGAGAGGGAATGGGTAAGACTTGAGGTCAGAATGTTGGAGGGATTATAGCTAAGACTGATTGAGGACTTTTTGAAAGTATCCAACAGCTCGTTTAATCCATATTATAAGCCTAACAGGGATGGGAAAACAGGTCAATTTGCTAAAAGTTAATTTGCCAAAGAATCAAGTAGTTAAATTTACCAAATACTTATTTTACAGAAAATTCACCTTGAATTTAACAAACATATTCTTTGGTAAAACTACTTTTTAGTGAATTGGCTTTTGGTAAAATGAATTCCAACCTAAGATAATACTATTATCCTCATTGTATTGAGGAGAAAACTGAGATTGAGCATTAGCAAAGGCAAGGCCAGGTCTATAGAGCTAGAGCTTTTAATCTATAGGGATAAAGGAAATAAATGATCTAGAATATCTTATTTCAACTCTAGTATGTTATGATGTTAATATATATATATATGTTTTTAAGATTTTATTTATTTATTTATTCATGAGAGGGGGGGGCGGGGCGCCGAGACACAGGCAGAGGGAAAAGCAGGCTCCGTGCAGGGAGCCTGACGTGGGACTCAATCCCGGGTCTCCAGGATCAGGCCCTGGGCTGAAGGTGGTGCTAAACCGCTGAGCCACCCGGGCTGCTCCCCACTGATCACTTTTAAACTTTCATCCCAAATACCTGTTTCATCACCAATGCAGACAGTATTGTTTTTCTGACCATAGGAAAAAGGTCACCATAATTCTCTCAGGTATGAGACTTCTGAAATCTTTTAAACTCAACTCTGTTATTTTTTCCTGCCTGGGAATCACTAGCAAAAACTGTACATGACCTTTTTTGGATCTGTAATGACCATGGTTCCCAGCTGCAGACAGTGGAGTACACTCCAGGAGTTCAGTAACTCCTCTTGGAGGGCATTTTTGTCAGAGTAGCATGTAGTGCCCAGGGGCCAGGGATGTTAAATATCCTGCACAATGTAGAACTGCTTCACCTAACACATCAGGAGGAGCCCCTTGAGAAACACTGAGCTCGGGGTCAACTTCATGGGCATGCAAACTGTGCAGTTCTATGGGGCACCGTGCTTGGTTTAGTGTTCTGCAATCGCCATTTTGAAAATCTTCATACTTTTATGTTTGAAAGTTTGTTTAATAAATTAAGTCCAGTGGCACAATGGATCATACAAGCAAGCACAGGAAGCACTGTGTGCCATCTTTTCTTCCTTGCCACCCTATTTGCATATAGTCTTTGTGGTGTGTCATAAACGCAGCATTGATAGACCTATGAGGTGTAGGAACTCAGGGAGTCACAGTGACGACAGGCAAGCATATTACAAAAAGAAGGCAGTAGCATCCTAAAAAATACAAGCGACAGAAGAACCCTATCATATCCCCATATTAGCATTTACGCTGAGAATGATGACATAGAAGGAAGGGGAAAGGTAGGGCAACTCATGGTTTCTTTCCTTTCCCCCCTTCCCTACTCAAATTGTGAGGATGTGTGCCTATCAAGAAGGGAAACAAAAACAGCTGAGTTGATTCTGTGCAGCGTTTACACTGTTCCGATAAGCACAAAATGCATATGCATGTATAAACTAGGAAATATGAACTGTGTAATTTTGGTGAGTCTATGTAGGAGTTAAATGCTTTTATATTTGCATTTATAAATGGCATTGCACAAAATAAAGATGAATGGTAAAATTCATTCTAATTTAAAATTCTAATTTTTCTTGTAATGATGTTTTTTATTTGCTTTTTAATGTCATTCTAAGTCAAGAGAGAGACGACAGAAGAAAGAAAAAGCTTTATATTTTAGTAAGTATAATGGCACCTTTTTCCTGCTTTTTGAACAAGGGGCCTCACATTTTTCCTTTTGCTCTGGGCTCAGCAAATTATGTAGCTGGCCGTGACTGAGCTAGTTTAAGCAGAAATGGATTAAAGGACAGATCTCTGAGCGAACCAGGCTTGGATAATAACACTGCTAGAAACAACATCTAGGAAAAACCAAACCAGAAAGTACCTCATCCCACATCACAGGGCAATTCTAGTGGAAACCCCTTCCAACACCACCTGCCAGTCAGCACCCATGACTCTAAAAATGGATGTGAGAACTCTTCCCCCAGCTACCCAGAACCAAGTATCTCCACCATAAAGTGTTTGCCAGAAAAATCCCATCACCCTGAGTGCAGCTGAGGCATCATGTTGCTTACTTTCATACCTATGTCTCGAATGGGTACATCTGATTGCTGGAAACTAGGTCATATGCACTGATATGCTGAAGGAAACCAGCTACTGATTGTTATCATCTTTTCCAAGTAAGTCCACATTCAGTGAAGTCATTTTTGGTAGCCTGGGAATATTCATACCATGAAGACTGGCTACAACAAATCAGTTGTTCCCCTCCCCCAACCATTAGTAAACATTTACCAGCACACCATCATCTAGCTGCAAGAGAGTCTAGAAACTGTAGTTTTCAATTTTCTAGCTTCTAAAGTTCAGAAAAGCAAGCTAGGAGGGGTTTGGATGAGTGTTGGGTAAGCCATTTTACAGTACCTGCTGAAAGATAATGGTGGCCACTGCCTTCTGTTCTAGATTATAAATTGCTAATAGGCAAATACTGATAGACACTCAACAGTATTGATACAGAAGGTTTGGTGGGCTTTTACCAAAAGCATGACAAGATGAGTCTGGGTCAGTGGACTAGAAGAGATGAAATGTCCATTGATGCTTATGATGGTAGACTAGAAACTAGAAAGTCTGTCTGAGAGGATAAAGTCATCTGTTTTGTCTATCTCTCAAACCACCAGGCAAACAGAAGCCACTGGACAGTAACAACAAAAAAAAGAGATACTTAAGGATACAGAGTTCAATTTTGACATTTCTCTCCTACTGCGTAGATAAGACAATTTCAAATGATTTATTCCTTTTGAATGAGTTAAACTTCTGGATGTCAACTGTATATGATGATACTTTCACATGCCTTACCGCGTATGAGCCTGTACCATCCCTGAGACATTAAAGAAGGAATTACTGTCCATTTCATTGATGAGGAAACCAACTCCAGAAAATGAAATGATCTATCCGAAATCATTTAGCTAATAAATGATGGCTTAAAATTTTCATTTTCTGACTCAGAGTTCCAGAACTCTTTCCTACTTACACATTTGATAGTGATTAATTAGGGAAGTATTGTCAGGTTTTCAATTTCAGCAACAATTTAAACTCAATTACATGCAATGGACAAAATATCCTAATTTCATGCTGCAGATGCTTTTCCCAAGACTGAACACTCTTTCCTTGGTGGGTTGGAAAGATGTGAATTGTGGTTGCAACTGCCTTTTCTTAGTCAATGATGCTGTTTCAAGAAGTAGGGGGAAGGAAACCCTTTTCTAGAAATAAGTAATCCATGAATTTGATGCTTTTACCTTTCCCTAGTTAGGACTAGTATAATTTAAGTATTATGGGTGTACTTGGATTATAACATAGTACAGGGACTCTCAATTTTATAGGACTTTAGAATCATGAGTGCTGAGGGAGGTGGCTAAGACAGATTTCGAGGCCTCATCCCTACAGAGGTGACTTAGTAAGGGCCAAAATATTAAATCAACAACAACAACAACAACAACTCTAGTGCCGTGGAGTATTACGAGAATCACTGGCGTTGTGCATCTGGCATTCAGCTTGCAGAAAAACATCTGTTCTATGAGAAAGTGCATTTTAACACAGTAATGCTATTTTTAAATCCCTTCCGTCGCCTTCTAAAACTTAAATCAATTTGAGATTTGCCTCTTAAAAATATTAGGTAATTTCCTTTATATTAGAAATCTTGCTACCTATGTTTATTATAATCATGCTCTGAGGTTGAAAACTGCAAGCTAATTTACTGTGGTAATCAGCCTCAAATCCCTTGGAGCATAAATTCTTATTAGCAGTACATGTTATGGAATTCGTAGACGCTGCCTACCAGGGGCCTGTCCCCCCACCCCACCTTGGAGCCTCCCGATTTTCCTATTTGAGGAACCACGACGGTTCCAAAGGAGGACCCCTCACACCACTTAAAATACACGGCAACCTACTAAGCCATTAAAACACACCTGTATCCTACGTGAGCGTGACCGATCTCGAATTAGGCTGAAAATGACTGTCCAAAGTCCTCCATTCGGTGCCGTACTTCGAACTGGAAACCACGGTTTCCGCCTCCCACTGCGTCAACCTTTTTGTTGGGAAGAAACCTTCGGGTTTTGTTCTGTGCCTCTCTCGTTCCACGGAGGCGGAAACGGGTCCTGAGAAACCAAATTATTTGCCCAAGGTCACACCCAGTATTTAGTGACCGAGTCAGACAAAAACCCGTCGGTTCCAACAGGAGGGCCAACCCAGCGGCTTGTTACTACCTTTTTTTTTTTTTTCCCCGATTTCACAACTGCATCCCTCCCCACCTTCTTTTTTTTTTTTGGGGGGGGGAGGGGTTGAGTTGTTTTGTGGAACACTTCTTCCCTACCTCCTTTTGCCTTTAGGTAATGGGTAACGGGTGTCCGCGTCTGACGCGGTGACTTTCACGGGGGCTTTACATCTCCGGCCGAACGCTTCTCCGAAAGGCTCTTAATCCTGAATTCCGCCGGGGGAGGGAGGTCACCCAGCGCGGACAAGTGCCTCCTCGGACGCGCACGCGCACACGGACGCGCACACAACCGCGCACGCGCGCGCCAGGGCCGCAGCCTGAGGCGCTGAGGAGAAAACCGACGAAGGATCTGTTCGCGCGGGAGGAGGCCGCCGCGCTGGGAAACCCCGGATCTGCCCGGCCCAGCGAAGCGGAGCCGAGCGGGAACACGTCCCTCCGGGGGGCCGCGCGCAGACACCGCAGCGCCGCGGGAAGGAGGGGGCGCCGCGCCCGCGCGCCCCCGCCCCTCGCGCCGCCCCCGGGCCACGCGCGGAGCCGCCGCGATACCTGAGAAGGGCCGGCTGCGTCCGCCTCCGCCTCCGCCTCCGCCTCCGCGCCCGGCCCCGCCCGCCCTCCCGCGAGGCCGCGGCGGCACGAGATCTGCGCCCCGCCGTCCGCCTCCCGCCTCCCGCCTCCCGCGGGCGGGCTTTCTTACCTTGTAAAAAGCCGTCTCGGCGGCCGCCCCCGCCTCCTCCGCAGGATGTGAAATGGCGGTCGGCTAGGCCAGCGCGAGCGATCCCCGGCCAATCCCGCCGAGCCGCCCGAGCGGCCCCGACCCCCCTCCCGCATCCATGACATCGGCGCTCCGCCGCCCCCCCCCCCACACGCAGGTGGCCGTGCCCACCGGCCGATTCATCGATCCCCGCGCCCGGCGCGGGCCCAGCCTCCCCGCCCCCCCCCCCCGCGGCCTCCTCCCTCGCTGCGAGCCCGGGGGGCGGGGGAGAAAACACCTTCTCGGCCCCCGCCGGGGTGTCCCGCTCGGGTGCCCGCCCCGCTCGCTCCCTTTCCCGCCGTGTCCCCTCCCCCCGCCCCCCCCCCCGCGCACACACGCGCGCGCGCGCGCACCCGCGCACCCCCCCGCCTCCCCTCCCCCAGTGGTTGCGTCCGTGACATCATCATCATGGCAACAAGAGCTGCAGCCTGGGACCGAGGAGCCCGTGTGATTCCCGGCGGCGGCGGCAGCGGCGGCAGCAGCAGCACCGACGGAAGCGCCAGGGCGTCTCTGCTGTCGCCCGTCGCCGGGTGCTCGTGAGGAGGCGGCGGCAGCAGTGCCAGCAGCGAGCGCCCCGCCCGCCGCCCGCCGCCCGCCGCCCGCTCGCGGCGTCTGTGTGTGAGGGGAGGGGGCCGAGCCGAAGCGGGGAGGGGGCGCCGCCGCCGTGGGGCCGTCGCTGCGGAGGAAGCCGCCGCCGCCGCCGCCGCCGCTGCCGCTGCTGCCGCCGCCAGATCGCCCGTGAGGAGGAGGAGGAGGAGGAGGAGGCGGAGGAGGCGGCGGCGGCGGCGGCGAACATGTTTTCAGTGAGGATAGTGACCGCCGACTACTACATGGCCAGCCCGCTGCGGGGCCTGGACACCTGCCAGTGCCCCCTCACCCAGGCCCCTGTCAAGAAGGTGCCGGTGGTGCGAGTCTTCGGAGCGACCCCGGCAGGTAAGCGGGCGCGGGGCGCGGGCGGGAGCCGGCGGGGCGCCCGGGCTGCCCTCCCCTCGCCGCCGCGCACACGCGCGCTCGCCGCCGCCGCCTCCCCTCCCTCCCTCTCCCTCCCTCCCTCCGCGCCTCTCCGCGGGTGCGTGACAAGAGGCGCCGCGACGTGGGTCCGCGCGGGCGCCGCGCCCCCTCCTCCCGGGCGCCGGGTGTTGGCAGCGCGCGCGGCGGCCGCGAGCCGGATCCGCACCCCGGGCCGCGGGGGAGGGCGGGGGGGCAGGTGGCCGCGCCGTGTCCTGCGGGACGCGCTGAGGTCGCCCGCCGGTGGGACTGCGGCCGCCGCCCCGTGCCTCCCCCGTCGGGAAGGGGCCCTGCGGGGCCCGAGGAAGTGTCAGCGCCCCCCGCGCGGCCTCCCGCCGCCGCCCGCCTCTGCCCCTTCCGGAGCGCGGCGCCCGAGGAATCCCGCCCCCTGAGGGGAGCGTGGGGCTCCGCGGCGAGCGCGGGTCGGGGGACGACTCCTCGCAGTCCCGCGCCTCCGGGGCCCCGCGCGGCGGCCGCTCGAGGGAAGGGGCGCGTCGTCGCTCGCCCGGCGGCGGCACCTCGCGCCCGGGGGCGCGAACGCCTGAGGAGCCGCGGGCCCTCTCGGCCGCACCGACGTCGGAGACGTGCCCCCCACGCCGAGCCGCGGGGCCGCGTTTAAAGACACGTCATCCTTCCCACAAAAACCGCTCTGCTGCCCGAGCGGGGTCGGGGCGGCGCGGCGCGGCGGGGCGGGGGGGGGGGGCAGCAGTGACGGAAGCCCTGGGGACTTGGGGTCACGCAGCTAAGGGCGGGGGCCAGATGGGCAGGGCCTCGCGTCGCCGTGGTTGTGTGCGCGCTGTGAGCCGCCTGCAGCTCGCGGAGGGCCGCGCTCCCCCCCCGCTGCGGGCTGCCCTGCGCCTGCGGGGTCTGGGGCAGCGTTTCCCACTTGATGCTCCTCGCCCGGGTCGCGCTGGGTCTTCCTACTCCCGTTTCTGCGGGGCCACGCGAGATAACGGCTCTACCCAACGCAGGCGCGCGTTGTCGTTGTTGTTGTGGTTTCAAGCGGTTCCCTTTTTAACGTGAATTCTCTTTGTTGCGAATTTCAGTGTTGTGCGATTTTGATGCAGGATCCCCCTCCCAGAGTGCTGAGATGATGGTTTTGGTGATAGGGACCTGGGAAGAGGAGAAATGTGAATGCTGTTGATTTGGGGAAAGGAGAAACACCTGAAACTTTGGAGGCTGGAAAATAGAGGCAGTAAAGTTCTGAGAGATTTTTTTTCCCCCTCCCCTTTCCAGATATACTGGGGACTGTCTTTGTTTCCAGTTGCAGTTTCAGTGTCACACACCGGTTGTTCTCACTTCCAGTACAGAGAAAGAATTAGAAGGTCGATAGAGCTCTGTTCAGCCAGATTTCGGGATTCTAAAGTGACGTGCTAATAGGATATGCTGTGGCATCTCTGTGTATTAATGTTTGTATGGTTTGGATTACTTTTCTACGCACAGATGTGTTCCCCCCTCCCCCCCAAGCAAGTCATTACATATGTATCCCTGAAGGATTTTCAGGCTTATAGAAAAGTTTTGTTTGTGGAATAGGTGAATTTCACTGTGAGCTAGCAGTAAGCCTATAAACGTAACAAAACATTCTTTAAAAAAGATGATGGAGGTACTTTTGTGTTTTTCAGTATAAAAGAACACGGGTATTCTATGATAAATATTTTCTTCCCTCCTGGATATCTTACAGTAGATTACCAGCTTACCCCTTCTGCCTTAAAAAAAACAAAAAACAAAAGCTTAAAGGATATATTTTGAAACGTATAGTGTAAATGAATGTGGAAGTAAGACATTTTTGTACATTAAAGGATATACAACGATACAAAGAAACTGAAACTTGAAGTTGTTAAGAAGTATCAAGTTGAGTTTACCATAAATAGAGTTCACAGTTTCACATACAGAGACTTGTGTTTCTTCAACAGGTGAAAAAATTTGAAGTCACTGGCATACATTTGGGAGTATATAGCTTTCAGAAAGCCAGCCAGCATTTTTAACATGTTAGAAACTCCCAGGAAAGTTAGTATTAATTAAATGTAAACAAAATTGTACAATTATCTGCTTCTGAATTCTCTCCCCAAAGAAAACTAGTCCAGCTCACCCATTAAAATAAATTTGAAAATAATTAATATAAAATATAGGTCAATCTGACTTAGTAAAAATCTGAGTGATAGAATTTTTAATGAACAGTTTTATTGTTTGAAAGCACAGCTATGTTTATATATTTACCAATTAGTAAAGTAAATTCGTGAAAAATAGTAACATGATAAATCTGTTACATAAAGTACCATAATTTAAAGCCTTTCATATATATAATAATTTTGGAAGTCCTTAATTCTTTATCTTGGTTTAAAGAAAAGGTATTTTTAAACTGAGTTTGCTTTGTAAATGAGTCCTGAAAAATAGCAGCAGAAGAAATTGTTTCTCAAAGAGGGTGTTTCATATTGATATTATAAATTCTGAACTGATCGGTTTCTTACATTTTTACTAGTTCAGTTTTTCTATTCATAAAAGGTATTTTTCTGCTTTAGAAAACAGTCCAGTTGACTTCTGATTGTCCTGTGTTTTGAGGGCATATCTTGAATAACATATAAGAAATTGTCTTAGATTTAAAAGCTCTCATATCTTGAGTTGGTGAAATTTGAAAAGGTATTTTAAAAAGTGGCATATTCAGATTTGAACGGTAAATCCTGACTGATTTAATCCCTTGCTGATTGAGGATAATGTTATTCCTGAGAGAATCACTTAAATTTTCTTTGTGAGTAATGGAATTACTTTTTAAAAAACCTCTTTTGCGTTTTCTTCACTCATTTAAAAATGTCTTGAATGCTGTTTTGCTATAACAACGTATTGAGTAGTGTAACGTTTCAGTAACCTGTTTTAATGGAGAGAAACAAGGTTATAGATGACTAACGCACAGGGCAGTGTTTTTTCACTTAGATTTGAATACAGGTGTTAACTGCTCTGGGAATTCACTTCAAATAAAATCCTAAGGCTTCATTGTGAAGATCCGACTCAGGTGGATCTGGAAAGCTGTCGGGTTTCCACATCCCAACCCTTGCTTATTGGTTGCTTGATGTAACTCACTTCACGTGGAGTTTAGAAAGCTCTCAGTTTTCTCAGCACCAGGTTAAACAGAATTATCCTCTCAGAAAGCCTCCCTGCTGAGATGCAGAGTGGGAGTAAATAGAAGAGTGTGAGTGAGATGTTCACACAGCAAGTAATTAAACAAAGTAGGCCAAACAGACTATAGAGGGAGCTGCTTGTCTTTAAGATTACTGTAAGGAACTCTTGCCACTACCCCCTCTAGTCTTCCTCCAGGTAGTGAAAATTTTAGTAGATTGTTCTAGATGCTAATTGTTAAACATGAAATTGAATTTTTCAACATAAGAAATTGGTCATTCTCCAGTGCTGTATAAATTTATGTAGTTGGTTAATAACTTCATTTTTTTTTTTTGTAAATTGGATTAAGTTTGAAATGAATACAGTTTTGAAAACTATGGCATTTACCAGCAACTCAGATTACAAGTATTTTCTTGTTTGTTCATAGCCCTTTTTTTCTTTTTTTAAGCCATTTAAAAATATTTTAAGATCTCATAAGACCTATTTGATATAATTACCAGAAAGGTTTTTCAGGAGCACTACAGAGATTTAGTGATTTACCACAAACAAAATTAGTCACTTTTTTTAGTAGGCATTTGAAGCCCCGAGTAGCAAATTCTGTTAGCTCTCTGTATTATATTTGGTTTAAAATCACAATTAGTAAATC